AGATTACTTTGTAAATAACTGTAGGAAAGTTGAATATGGAAGACAAGAGCTCAGTCTTGTTTCCAGGTATCAAAGCTTTTGCTGCATTTGGTATCTTCAGGAATAGTTTCTCAGAGCCCATTTCCACCCGCAGCACCGATTGCAGCCTGTGAAAGCCTGCTGAGTTCCAGTGAGCAGGTATTTCTTACACCAAGCTTAAAGCATAGCAGAGAATCCAATTCTAATTTCTTGCATAGAACGCATACATGTTCTCATTGCAGAGCTCCTATCGTTGTTCCCCAGCTCTGGGTGGTTTAATGTCCAATGAGATATTTCTTTTGTGTATCTCTTACACACTCCCTCATATTAATCTTGTAACAGAAACGACCAGGACCTCTTTGCACTTGACCTCTCTCTATCAATTTAACTACTTTGCAGTGTCTCTTCCATTCCAAGAAGTTGTATTTCGTTGCTCATTCAGCATCTGAGTGAAGTAATTATCATCTTATTTTCACATTTACAACTACGAGCTACGTGAAAAAGGCCTGCAAGTCAGTATGTGGATAGGTTATAATGAGGAGAAGGGACTGCATGGGGACATCTTTTCCAGCATCCCTTCTCTCAACAAAGCCTCCCTTACCCACCCTGCTACTTGGTGTGAGCAATTTTCTTTGAACCTCATTTTGTGGACTTCTGAAGTTCTGAGTTAGTTAATGACTTAATTTCCAGAATATGAGCAATATGCAATCTGTCACGTCACATCAGGCCTACAGAAATTAGTCCAGCACGAATGTTCTAATACCGTGATCTCTATAAGAGGAATATTTTTAAAGGATAACAGACATTCGGTAATACAAAATCTTACAGTTTTTTGTGCATCAGCCTGAAGAGAATTTAACACTGCTGGGAAATGCATCAAACACCTTCTCAGTTCAGAGCTATTTGTAGCATTTTTTGATTCAACGATACTTCAGTTTCTCCATTGAATGTTTTCCTGCTGAAACATGAGAAGAGTGATTTGCTGTTGTTTTTCCATCTGCACAGATCCCAAAAATCCACCTCTGCTTTCCCTCCCCTCCCCATCTCCTCCCCCCCCCTTCTTCTCTCAATAATTATTTCATTTCTTTCCGAATCGGACTTCAGGCATCATTCTGTGATAACACAAACTCCATTTCTAAAGAGATAAACACACCTGAGTTTCCGGTGGCTTTGCAATATGATCAGATGCTTCATCTCAGCATCTCCTTAAGTCACAGAGATCTCTGGAATGGCATAGCAGATAAGGAAGTAGATGTAAGTATAAGAACAGTTGCTAATTACAAGTAACTCCTGTTGTAAACATGGAACTGTTGAAAATAGAATAAAAACATGTGAATAAATTCTGAAATGCGACAACTGCATTTTTCCTTCTCTCTCCCTTCTCCATAACTCCAAACAGGGAGTTGTACGTTCAGAAGAAGTCCTAACCGGGCTGCGAAAAAAGCCCCTTCCCTCGAAGGAAAGCAGGAGGGTGATGTCTCACGTTCCCAGCTACGGAAAAGCACTGTGCACTCACGGGTCGAAAGCGGCACTTGCGGTGAACCACTCCGGAGCTCTGAGATCAGCAGCTGAGTGCAGAGTTCTCACTCAGTACAGACAGACACGGACCTGCTGGAGTGCGTCCATAAAAGGGCCACAGAAATACGCCCAGAGATGGAACACTGCTCTTACTAGGACAGGCTGAGAGAGCTGGGGAATGGAGAAGAGAAGGCTCTGGGGACACCTGAGAGCATCTCAGGGGGGCTATAAGAAAGGAGGGGACAGACTCTTTAGTAGGTTCTGCTGTGACAGGATTGGTCACAGGGAAATGGTTTCAAACTCAAGGAGGGGAGATTAAATTGGAAATGAGGAAGAAGTTGTTCACAATAAGGGTGGTGAGGCACTGGCACAGACCGCCCAGAGGTGCTGGATGCCCCATCCCTGCAGACATTCTAGATCAGGCTGGACAGGGCTCTGAGCACCTGGTGGAGCTGCAGGCGCCCCTGTTCACTGCAGAGGAGTTGGACCAGATGACCTTTGAGGGTCCCTTCCATCTCAAACCATTCTGTGGTTCCATAGAGCCATGCAGGGTGTTTCACTGCTCACTGTGCACGACGCTCCCACGTGTGCTGCTCTCTGAGCAGCCCTTCTGCTGCAGGAGGCTGACACCGAGTGCTGCTGTCCCCACAGCTGGCCCACGCCTGCAGTGCTGGATGACACAGGGTGCAGCCATGAAAGGCATGAGTCCTGTCCCATGCTCTCAGCCAAACCGTTTGCTGCTGTGCTTTGCGGGTCCTCCCACAGCCCAGCACTGAGCAGGAACCCTGCTTCTCCTCTGGGGCTGCCAGCACGACCATCTCTGCCTGTTTGACATTGCATGGAGTGGTGAGCAATGCCCTGGCCTACCAGCTGTTACGTCTGTTCCAAATGTACTCTGAAAACACCTTGGGAGATGCTTTGTACTAGCACACGCAGAGCCCAGTGCAGTACTTCCCCTCTGCTGCCTTGGTCCCACAGAGCTGGGTGCCTGTAGAGCCAGGGTTTGGACAGCAGGCTGTTTGTGCAAGGCAGTGCTCTCCCTCTCTACAGGCAGCATCCTGCCTGAGTGCTCACCAGCAAAACACTGGGGCAGGAGTGAGGGAAAGCCGTGTTTTGTCCCCCAACAGCTGTCTGACACAGAGGCAATTAGCCGGGCACTAATCGGGTTAGGGCTCAAGGGTGTTCTGTGGGCAGCAGGGAGCGAGGTGCCCGCCTGCCCCCCGAGCTGAGAACAGCGTGGGCAGCAGGGAGCTCCGCCTCCCGCCACTCCTCTGCGCGCGTGCTGAAGTTTCCCCATCCCTTCTTTGACCCCCACCTGCTGCTCCTCTGGGGAATAGAGAACCTGGCTGCCTCAAGCGGACCTCAGGGACGTGTATTGAAATGCGTTGCCCCATTAGCGCTTCGTTTTTATTAATTCGTCCTGGAAAGCGTTTACGGCCTCTTCCTAATTCTTCCTCTCAGGGAAAATACGGAAAAAATAGAACTCCACGAACAATTAGTAAAAGCGACAGCAGTGCAGTTAGGGGGATGTATTTGGGGGCGGGGGGAGAGATGTTCCAGGCAGGAACGTGCGAGCCTGGGGACGGCAAAGTCCCTCAAAGCGCAGGAGCGGTGCTCGACACGCACCCACAGAAGCAGCGCGGAGGCAGCGCGCCGCTCGCCGCCCGTCACCGTCGCTCGGCGTCACACCGCACCGCGAGCGCTGCGGGGCCGGGAGGGCAGCGGTGCCGGGCGGATCCCCGCAGCGCTCCGCTCCCAGCGGGACGCGCCGCACGGGCACTCCCGCCGCGCCGGGCTCTCAATGCGCCGCAGCCCCGCGGCGCTCCGCCGCTTTCCGCCCTGACTTCGGGGCCTCGCACCGCGCGAAGCGACGGCGGTGCCTTTGCGCTGCCCCCACCCACCACCTCCGCCCTCTGCTGCGTTCGGGAGGCGCCCCTCCAGCACTCGGAGGCGTCCGTGCGGGGACACTTCGCTCTCAGCACGCGGCCACGCGCACCCCACACGCCCGCCCCCGACAGCCGCTTTCCGCGAGCACGGCGGACGCACGGCAGTCCCACGCGCGCACCTCCCCGCGGACTTCCCAAAGCCGGTGCGGCCCCCTCTGCTGTGCTTTTTCCCTCCCCCTCTCAGCAGATGTGGACCGGCACGGGCCGGGACGGTGGGGCCGCCTCCCGCCGCTCCTCCGGCGGTGCCGACGCCGCTGGAGCTCGGCGCTCCGGTCTGCTCCCTGCGGCCGCCCCGAGGGCTGCCGTGGCGCGGGCAGGTGGGTGCGCGGCCGGGCGGGCGGGGAAGTTGGAGCGGGAGCCCCGGTGGCGCCAGGGGAGGCCGGCTCCGGAGGCGAGAGGAAGTTGCGGTGTGCCGCGGTGCGGAAATTTGGAGGCTCCGCCGGGCGCCTCTCGGGGCTTTACGTAACGGCGGCGGGGCCGGGAGCGGCGGAGCGGCTCAGCCTGTCCCGCGCTGCGCTCCGCCGCCCATCAGCGCTTCCTATGCTGCAGTTTCCAGCCGTTTCCCCTTGTCCTGTCTCCACTCACCACTGAAAACAGTCTGGCCTTGCCATTCTGCCCCCCACACCTTAGATATTTATAGACCTGGATCAGGTCCCCTCTCAGTCTTCTTTTCTCAAGGCTGAACAGACCCAGTTCACTCAGCCTTTCCTCATAGGAGAGATGCTCCAGGCCCTTCACCATCTTCGTGGCCCTCCGCTGGACTCTTTCCAAGAGATCCTTGTCTTTTTTGTACTGGGGAGCCCAGAACTGGACACAGTGCTCCAGATGAGGCCTCAGCAGGGCAGAGTAGAGGGTGAGGATCACCTCCCTCGACCTGCTGGACACGCTCTTTTTAATGCACCCCAGGATGCCATTGGCCTTCTTGGCCACAAGGGTACACTGCTGGCTCATGGCAACCTGTCATCCAGCAGGACACCCAGGTCCCTTTCCGCAGAGCTCCCCTCCAGCAGGTCATCCCCCAACCTGTACTGGTGCATGGAATTATTCCTCCCCAGATGCAAGACTCTACACTTGCTTTTGTTAAACCTCATCCGTTTTATTTCTGCCCAGCTCTCCAGCCTGTCCAGGTCTCGCTGAATGGCAGCACGGCCTTCATGCTGTCAGCCAATCCTCCCAACTTCGTATCATCAGCAAACTTGCTGAGGGTGGCCATTATCCCCTCATCAAGGTCATTGATGAAGATGTTGAACAAGACCGGACCCAGCACCGACCCCTGAGGAACACTGCTGCTCACAGGCCTCCAACCGGACTCTGCACCACCAACGATGACCCTCTGCGCTCTGCCAGTCAGCCAGTTCTCAACCCACCTCACTGTCCACTCATCTATCCCACACTTCCTCAGCTTTGTTATAAGGATGTCGTGGGGGATCTCTCTGATTGGCTGGCCATCTCTCTGATTAAAATACATTGTATTAAAATGGCCACTTAAATGGCCACTTGAAATGAATAACAGCAAGGTTCGTTTTGGTTTCAGTGCATTTGGCTGTACAAGGAGGTATCATCCAGGTGAAACTCCCTTCACTAGGAAAGCATCACAGACACAATGGTACCATGGAACTGCTGGGCTTTGTCCAGGTACACGCCTGGAAAAAAATAACAATGAAAGAAAACTAAAAGGAAAATGAAAAGGTCAAAAGTAATCGTAGAATCATAATAGAAAGATTCAGTAAAACCCAGAGCTTACCTCATGTCTCTATTGTAAGCACACCCACCGTTGACAGAAACCTCACAGGCATAAAGGGACTTGTAAAGAAGAGCGCTGGTTTGGATTCGCTCTTTGCACAGCGGCTGGAAGAACTGTGCACATCTCCATTACTTCTCATGCCTGTGAAAGTCATTGTCTCGACATCGTTGCTGCCACTGCTGGTTCTGTATTGAACATGAGAACATGTGAAACTCCCATTTACTCGGTTCCCCTAAGGATTAAACGTGAAATGGCAAATGGTTCAATCGTGTATCACAATAGAATCTGTAGAGAAGATACTACACCCTAGCCCACAACCCTAACTTTAACCCAAACCCTAACCCAAACCCTGCCCTAAACATAACCCTAACCCTGACTCTAAACCTTACTCTAAGCTTAGCCATAACATTAATCCTAAACCTAATTCCAAACCCTAACCCTAAGCTTAACCCTAAATCTTACCATAACTTTAACCCTCAACCAAACCCAATCCCTAACCCTAACACTACCCAAAATTAACCCCAAACTCTAACCCTAACCCTAGCTCTAATGCAAACCTGAAACCTTGCTCTAAACCTTTCTGCAAATACTAACCCTCACACTAATATTAACCCAACCTGAACCTATCAACCCTAACCCTGACCCAGTCCCTAACCCAAAACAAACACTAACCCTAATCCTAACCTTAATCCTAACCCCAGCTGTATCCTAACCCTAAATGTAAACTTAGCACTGAACCTAACCCTAACCCTTACCCTCAAACTTAACCGAACCCTAACCCTACCCTAGCCCAAACCCTAACCCCAAGCATAACTCTAAAACTCAACACTAACACCAAACTCTAGCACTAACCCTAACCTAAGCTTTCACTACCCCAAACCTAAAACTAACTCTAACCCTAACCAAGTCCAGCAAGACCCCTTCTTCTCCATTTGTGGCCCAGCAAGCCCCCTTTCTTCCAGTTCAGGACCCAGCAAGCACCTTCTTTTTGCTTTGTGGCGCAGCACACCCACTTCTTTCTGGGTATGGACCAGCAAGCCCCCTCCTTCTGGGTTTGAGTCCAGCAAGCCCCCTTCCTTCTGGTTTGTTGCCCAGCACTCCCCCTTTCTTCTGGGTATGGTCTTACAAGCCCTCTTCCTTCTGGGTTGAAGAGCAGCAAAACCCTTCTCTATTCATTTCAGCCCAGCAAGGACCTTTCCTTCCGGCTTTGGGCCCAGCAATCCTCATTCCTTCTGGCGTTTGACCTTTCCAGCCTCTCTTCTTCACTGTTTCAGTAGAGCAAGTCCAGTTCTTTCTGGCTTTGAGCTGAGCAAGCCTTCTGCCATCGGGGTTTCTTCCTGGTGAGCCCCCTTCCTTCTCAGTTTCTGCACAGCAAGAATCTCCCTGACGGATTTGCTGCCCAGCAGGCTGCTTTCCTGCTCCATTCTGCCCCAGGAAGCCCCGTTCCTTCTGGCTGTCTGCCCAGCCCGCCACGTTCCTTCTGTTTTTTAGTCCAGCCAGTCCCTTCTTTTTGGTTTCCGGCCCAGGACAACCCCTTTCTTCTGGGTATGGAGCAGCAAGCCCCCTTTCTTCTGGCTTTGGGCACAGGAAGGCCTATGTGTACAAAGGGACTGTAAAAAGCCCAAGCAAGCAGATAAAAATGCTTGTGCTGTTCCAACTGGACCTTGTGCCCGGTGCAGGAGGGGGCCACACCGGGCGAGAGAACGCGGATCTAAACACCCTGTTGCTGCAAGGCCCTGTGATCTGCTGGGAAACAGGAAGAAGAGCGCGATACCACACACCGTGACAGCAAATATGGGCCTGAACTGGTTGGCCACTGCCTGGCCAGCTCACTCACACCAGCCACCACCAGCAGTGCAGGAGTGCATTTGCTGATGATCAGGATCGTTCACATCTGAGCATCAGACACAGCACAGCACAGCGTACACTATCAAGAACTTGAACAAACATGATGTGTGAAGGGCCCAGGACTGCCACAGAGCCCAGGGAGGCTGATGGTTGCACCCTGCCAGCGAGGGGTGGACGTAACCTCGCGAGGCAGAGCTGTGCAGCCTCAAGTTAGGGATTGTTCCCAGCTCTCTGAGCAGCAAGGCTGTGCCTGTGGGCAGCGGCATGTGGAAAAGCAAAACTAATCAAGACAAAACAAACACACTTGAACTGAATTACAGTTTCAAGGAATCGCTGTTGACTACAAGCAACTGAACCCATGGCACAGCCCAAAATCCCAACAGTGTTACAAAAGAAGGCAGGCTGCCTGGGTGCTTTTCCACCCCGCTCAAGCCTTCACATAATGGAGGGGATACAGGTTTTGAGAACCGAGCCTTTATTCATGACACTGGAAAGATGTTTCAAAGCATCTGGTTTTCCATAAGGAGGAAAGGAAATCTGGCTTGCTACGATGCATTGATATAAAAATTGTGCCTCTAATATGAAAAAAAGGTTTGCATACTTGAGAGCACGGTACCATCAAGAATTCCTAATTCCAGTATTTTTGACAGAATAGGGAGAACAAGCTCTCATGGACAGAACTTAATAGTACAAAACAATCACAAGCATCCTACAGTGAATTCTGACCATTTGTGAGCGCAGTTCTTGAAGACAGCTGAAGAAACAGATCCCAGTAGGATCAAACCACATATATTTACACTCACTGTAGAAGTAACACTGCCAGTTAACTGGAATACACATCTTCACTGCTGTTCCAGAAGTCAGGGAAGCCTAAAAGCTAAACTTCAAGCTCAGGCATTCACACTTCAAACAAAATTCCTCTTGCATCCTGCATAATTAAGGCAAAATTTGTTATCTTTTGAAAATACCTCATACATAGTTTCTGCACAAAAATAAGAAAAATAAAACTACATATATTGTATATATAATGGAACACTCACATATGGTCAGTCCAGCAGAATAAGGCACAAACAATAAATAAAACGCAAATGCTTATATGAGGTTAATGGGTTATTCTGAATGGAATACAGCAAAATTCAACTGGATCTGAGTCTATTTGTTTCTTCCAGTGGGAATTAGACTCCACACAGATATTCCATGCTGTGTGATTTACAAAGATGCAGCGTGTAGGAACAAACTATCAGAAGTAGGTCATTTGTACAGTGACTGTATTTACAAGTGTGGTCCTTGTCAAACCATCTCTAACGAGGCTCCTCAATGGGGCTCTCCAACCTGAAGTCTAAGTGTTATTTTTTCCAGGAAATGAGGTACATTTGGTTTCTTACCCAGGCCACTGGAAATTTTGTATGCATGCTGAATTTGCATATTGATATTGTCACTAATAAAAATGACGCTACCTGCCCATATCATTGGGGCACTTTGCAGAGTGCTCTGGCAGGTGCTCACAAGCATACTTTCTCAATCTGGAGATTACCGTGCGCAATGGCCCGCCTGCATCGGTGCGTTGTCAGGGTCAGAAACCTTTCAGGTGAGTTGACAGCAGTTGTCTGTTATCGACAAATCTGCACACGTGTGCTCAGAGAGAGAAGGGAGCATTTCAAGATGAAAGGCACGCATCGTCATCTGCTGTCTGATTACAGCCTCAGAGTCCCTCCCACATAACAGACAGGTGCCTGTGACAGATAGGCGAATATCTCCAGGACCCAAACTGAAACAGTGGAAGCGAGGCACTTGAAAAAAAATAATCCCTCACAAAGCCCACCTGAACTGCTCGGTTTCCAAACATTTTTACAGTCGTGATCACTAAGTTCATTCGGGGAGATGCCTATGTGCTCATCCTCTCAGCTGTACGTGTCCCTTTTTAAAGCCGCTGGGGGCAGGAAGCCTCCTCTGCATCCCAGCATCCCTGGCCTTTGGTTGTTACTAAAAGGTTTCCAGCTGACCACAGTTCTCTTTAGCTCCTGTTTGATCTTCCATCATCACAAAACAGCTGCTGTAAGGTCTTCTTCCCATTTGGCCTCTGACTAATCACATCTATCCTGATTTCTGATAGAGAGAATGCCTCTTTGTGGTCTAATGGGAGCACTGAGGGATTCAACAAAGGAGCTTCCTTCCACTTTCAGAAAGAACTTTCATCAAAACGTAACTGAGCTAAGAAAACAGCTAGAGAACTGCTTACCATCTCCATCAATCACACGACTGCAGTGGAAACATACATCACCACACAGCTGAAGAGGAAGGAGAAACAACTAACTTTTAATTGATTTTATTGACAGTAATTTCTCAAATGTATCTCAATAGCTTTCCTGTTTTCTGTCACCATTCTCAAAGGAGAATGATGGCAAATCTGATTTGGGTTCCCAATTCAATCTTGCGTCATCTAATCACAAAATGTCTTTATAGTATTAAAGATGAAAGCATTTCTTTACATCTGCTCCACCCTCTACAAATACAGTTTTGTTTTGCTGCTTCCCTAATCCTGAGCATTTGAAATCCAGCAATGAAGAGTCACATACGCATGTTTAGTAAGCATCCAGCTGAACATCCGTGCATCCAATCAACACACAACTCTTGCCTGCTGCATGTTCTTGCTCTATCATGACTGCAATACTATTGCTAATCATGTATTAGTGCTATTGATAAACATGGCATTTATTGTCTGCAGGGATGCCAGCAATATTTCAATCACCTGCCCCTCATCGCTGACAAAATTAGGATCCACCTGTGATGTGCAGATGCCTTACAACTCCCAAATGTAATCCTCCTTTATTTATCCAAGCAAAGATGCGTACATGACCCTTGCACCTGGCTTCCAAAGCAGAAAGCTCTATCCATTATGGTCCTGGACTGCACAGTCAAGGGAGGCTGGAGGGAAACAGTGCAACTACGTACAGCTCTTCTTTCAATGCTAGGTGCTGTCCTCTGACAAGTTCAGTCTTTGTTGGTCTTCAGCAACCGGATGGAAGAGCTGCTTGATGCAGCGCATCTTAACGCATGGTCGTCTGAGAATTGCAGCTGTAAGGAAGTCCACGCCACCCAAAGGCTTTGAGTGAAACCACAGCTCTTGAGCGGCAGATCGTCCTGATGTGCTTGGGGAAAACTGGGTGTCACAAGCTGCTCCCATCTTAGACATCTGCAAAAGCTTGAAACAGCTCAAGATAAGCAACACTAAGCTTGAAGAGCAATTAGATTCTGATTAGCCCAGCTATCCTTTGTGAATTACCTGCAGTTTTCTTTCTGCAATGCAAAACTTACCTACAGAGAAACCCACACAAACCGACTGCAACAGAACACCTACTGATTAGGCTTTACACTCACAGGTGATCCTAAGAAAACAGACTCTCCCTAATTTTCCATCAAGGTACAAAAAAGAAAAAAAAAAAAAGCACTGAAGTGATTCTGGTATGTTATTATTGACAGAACCCAGTGAGGTCAAGTAATTTGCACCACCACTGCATCTTGTGAAGAAAGCACCTGCTGCAGGAGAATTTCACAGCCAAAGGACTAGAATGCTTATCTTCACAGCTTAAATGGAAGATGAAGAAGTAAATCTTGCACATGGACTTGAAATAGGAACTGTCACCTCAACTGCCTTAGAGATGTTTACCTGGCAAGTAACTGGAAGCCATAACAATATTATGATGCCCACTAGTGCTGCGTTTGTCACAGAACTTGGCTGCCTTTCCACACATCCTGCTTCTCACTTGGTGACATTTTGCTCTACAGGGACCTTGCAATGCTTCCTTGGACTGTTGATTTCAGCTCCGCAGGCAGAGGTCTTTTCTCAGTGGAAGATCAGGCAAACGAAGGTTGAACATGGGATGAGGAGATGATCTGCTGATCACTGCTGCACACTTTTCTAATCCTTTCACGGCAGCTGGTCAGCGATATTCCAGTTAAGCACGTCAGCCCTTACATGTGTGACAGACCACGTGTCAGCTGATGCTTACCTCCACGTGCCACTGCTTGCCCACAGCGTTCACCACACGTCCTTTCACTGGTGTTCCACGTGCTCCACAGGTGGGGATGCCCATTTTGTCACGGCAGGTAAACAATGTAATCATTCTCCCTTCGGTTCGCGAGCATCAGCAGCGAGTTCCTTCCTGTTCAAAGATTCATTAATTGAGAGCATGAGCTGAAGCAATTCAACTCCAGAGCTTCTGTAGAGATCATTTAATTTGCAGCACTTGTTTCAGTAACAGGATTTATACTGCAGTAATGTCTTCAGCAGCATCACACATGACAGTTCAGTATGATTACTTTTTAAACAAGCTTGACTGATCCTGAGAAAAGCCTGCTAAGTAGGATGCATCAAATCTCTCTGAAAATAGTTACTGAACTCGTCACAAACAGGTCAGAAAGCTGTACTCATTGCCTGGCTTACATCCTGGCTCTCTTAGCACTGGTTTCATTAGATTTACATAAACGTAACTGAAAGCAAGATGCACGCCTCTGCATTTTCCCCATGATGTCAAACATCAGAGAAAGAAAAATGTAAGCTGACAATAGCACTGACACAGCACTACAGGTTGTTTTTCAAACCAGCCTCTGCCATGACACCGAAATGAGAGCTTCCCCTGTACTAAGAACCAAACAACTAACAACGTGTGCTACATCCTGCACTGCCCCTGATCCATGCATCGCTGGGGGACGCAGAAACACGCAGCTCCGTATTCTGCAGCTGCAGAAGCTGGCAAGACGAGGTGAGGGGAAGCTTACAAGAAAAGCATGCTCAGGCAACTCAACTGAAAACAAAGAATGTATGCAAGACAATGACTGAGGCAGCTGAAGAAGACCAATTTTCTGCCCTCTGCATCAGAAAAATAATGTCAATCATTTTGCTGCCATAAGCAAGTTTGCACCCAGATTTCCTATTTCCTAAGGAAGCACCCTGTGCTGCAAACTGCAGTCTTCCATCCCGCCCCACTCCCATGCTTTACCCTCAGACTCTTCAGAGATTTAGATCGGAATCTGGATGGCAAAACAAGCCCTAATTCTCTACATAACTGTGTGTATCACATTAGAAATATGAAAGCAACAGCTGCACGTCTACTCAAAAAAAGTCCCTGAAGGATCCCACTGAAATGAGAGCATTTAGTAGTGAAAATAGTGATAAACTGGACTCATACTGGGAACCCACGTCAGGAAAATAAAAATCTGTTTAAAAATGACAAAACTTCTGCATCTGATTTGTTTCTAAGGGTCTGTGGCACTGTATCATCCTACTGATCCTGAAACATCACCAGTACAAAACACACACTTGACAGGAAATCTGGTGTCGAAGTAGATAAGTAGTTAATATTTCACGTGCACATTTTAGGATACCACTCTCAGTTTTGTGACGCATCCTAAGACCTTTTCCTCATAAAAGACACTTCGCTTACTCCATCTCAGCAGGAAAGCTTTAGGAACCATACCTTGCACATCCCTCCCAACTTTCATTCCATTTTCATCATTACCAGTGACAGAAGGAAGGGTGAAGATCCACCTGCCAGCATTCTTGACAAATCCAATACCTGCCAATACCTGTTGGCAGATATCACAGCAGAAGCACTCTGGATACCAGCGGTTGTTTATAGCAGTCACACAACCAAGAATGAACTCACCTGCAGGAAACACAGTAACAGGATGTAAAATGCCATGCTACACAAAGTTAAAAGAAGCCTGCAACTGAATCGCTAGAATTACGTCCTCGCTTTTGCCTTGCTCTTCTTCTAGAAAAGGACACTCTTGAATTGCTGTTCACACAGCGTTGGCTTCTACTCTGCTAGGTCTATAATCAAGCCTTGAAAGGGCTCCATACTCAAAGCACAACAGACCTGAGTTTGGGTGGCCTTGACCCTACTGCGAGAAAACTCCTGCAGTCAAAGTACAGTAGGATACAGAGATGCACAGAGATGCAGCAGGAGAATGCACCTGCTAAACATCAAATCCAACACGCACACCAATTTCTGATCTACCACAGAGTCCTGTCCTGGGAGGCACTGAAAAATGAGAAAACTACCATTTCTATTCTCTGCTGCACAGCCATGCCAAACACGCACGCTGTTCTCTGCACACACGCTGCAGCCAAGGCCCCTGAGCAGAGCAAACGCTGCCTACAACACGTCGGGAGCTCCGCTTCCTGCTGCTGCCAAAGGCTGAAAGCTGGCTCTCAAGAGCCCACAAATCAAACAGCTGTCAAAGAGGAGCGATCAGGCAGACAACAGCATGAACAAAATGAAGTCTCACATGCAGGCTGTGGCGTTCCCATGAAGTCACAGCTCTCCAAGAATAAAACGTGATCCTCTCTAGAAGTGTTGGGAAAGCTTGAGGCATCGCTGCTGACAGCAGCCCTGCTGATTTTGGCTACTCTCACTACAGTCAAAAACAGGAAAAGCCCACTTTCAGGCAGGATCCATGCGGTGCTGCAGCCCAGGTGGGTTTTTTCTCTCCGTGAAAAGCCTTCACGTTAAGCTTACCTGACATAGGAAGTCACTAACTATCCTGTGAAACGTGGTACTCTTGAATCCACGAGCCTTTCTCCCCTGTGCACAGGGCCCTGAACTTTCCAGCCGTCCGAGGGACAATGTGTGAAAGCAGCTCCGTGGCTGTGTGTCCTGAAGGTTCATCGCTGGCAGAAACATCAAAATACACAACAACAGGGCTGGTGTCCTTCGACAGCTCTGCTGCCAGAGAGAGCTGGCCCTTCTGCAGCTCTGACAAGCTTTGCTGGCATTCTTCAATCTCCTCTCGAAAGAATCAGCCAGTTCTTGAACTTCTAATCTGACCGCAACTCGCTCTACTTCCACTTCACCGTCTGAAAACAAACCCAAGAAGAGATTTCCTTAGCTCTACTCACTGCAGCCAGAGATCAGCAGCTTTTGTTCTGTAGCATCTCCAGGGTAAAACAAAGCCAAACAGACTGCAGGAGAGACCGAAAAGAACTGTAAAAACCACCCAACCGACTCACCAGCATCACCTGTAGCTGTCCAAATTCAAACAGTTTGATGTTTCAGAGGGCAATGAGTTCATTTCTGTGGCGATGACATGCTTTGCACACACCTCAACAACTCGGTCCCTTCTCATGAGGGTCCTGGAATACTTCTGCTGTGTCCGGAAGAGGACCTTCAGCTCTCCAAGAGCGCGCTCCTTCCGCTGAGCAGCATCTCTGGCCCAGCTGTAAAGTTCTGCCCTCTCTTTGAAGACAATTCCTTCACATTCTTCTCCAGACTTTACCTCCACCTAAAACACAGCACAGTAATGCGTGATTTCCCCAGAAGCTGTTGTCACCTACAGCACTGTTACAATTCTGACATCAGATAATGCAAAATTATTCAACGTTTTCCTTTCTTCAGTGGCTTTGTACCCTCAGCTCGACACTCATCATGCACTGAAGTGAATGAAAAGCCCTGCCTTCTCAAAATGGAAGAGCCCAACAAGTTCCAGCGTTTGAAATTCATTTTAGCAATGCAACACTGCCTGCACCACGCTGCATAGGAAGTTGTTTGATTTTTAAGCTATCCAGTGTGCTGGCCACAATTCCCCAGCAAAATTTCAGGTCTGCTGAATGATGTGCTAAGTGATAACGCAGCACTGTTAGCATCCCAGGTGTTCTCCTCTTAAAGACCGTTAAAAAACTTCATACTGGCATCTGACAGAACAAGAATCAACTGAAAATAATAAACGGAGGCCTCACAGCTGCATATCCTCCACGCTTTCTACGTGCGCATTACTGGCTTTTAACATTCTTCAATTAACACATCTTCCAAAGCTACAGAAAAACTTGGAAGAACTGCAGAAACGTGTGACAGACAAGCATTTCTGGTGGGAGAAGTGACACCGAAGGAGAAAAAGAGCAGGTAAGGCGAGAAAAAAACTCACAGAAGTCATACTGTGATGAAGAGATGAGGAAAGGCAGACAGGATATTGAAGAAAGAGGAAGACGACATTCTGCAGACTTCATCAGATTAGCTGTTCCAATTAAAGGACACTACCTACTGTTTATTGGTGCGCTGTCGGTCTTGCTTAATCATTACACTAACCTGCAATTAAGGTCTGTTCTTTACAGGAGGCCAAACTAGAAGATTACAGTCACTGCAAGCTTCTCATCCTATTAGGCACGCTAGGGTCAAACATGAAATCCAGACACGAACAACGGTTTTAAGCCTTACAAAGCTACATAAGGCTACTTCCAGTTAAACTCATCTCTACTTGAGCTTACAGTTCTTCTCCTTCCTAAAAAGCTGCATCACCACCTCCTGGTAAATCCTGTGATACATGAGCAGTTTCTGTGCATTCTGCTTCTTCGCTGCTCGCAGCTGACTGCACAAATACCGCTGTTGTTCACTGGTTGCTGCAGTATGTAATTCTTCCTTCCTTGTACAGACTGAGTCAGCACGACTAAGAACACGGTAAGCAAATCAGCCACGAGAGCCTAACATTCAAACTACATTAAGTCTGGACACTAAGAATAACCGCTCCCTCCAATAAAGCCGCATTTCCCCTCTCCTCTCCCTCCCTCTCTCCCTCCCTCCCAGCAACTGATAAATTTCTTCATTTATAATTACAACTGCAGTACAGAGAAATCATGATAGTAAGTTCTCCGTCTCCAACTTTCCTATAGCTCCTATAGCTACTACTGCTTCAGAGCAGCTAAGTAACAGGGATTAAGGGAAGCGAACAACTGGGGAAAAAAACAAACAAGAACTCTTCATTACTCTTAAGACACACTCAAGCTTGACTCGACAAGAGACTGAAGTGCCTTTGGAGCAGTGCAATTCCAAAATGAGCACCATTTCCCTTGGAAACTGCTCTGAAATCCCTCCACTCTTACATACCTGCTAGGAGGAATTCTACTAGCCAAAGCTGTTTCTACTTTAGGAGGCAAAGCTGTTTCCCTTCTCTCCCTGAGAAACCTGAGAAGCAGTAACACATTCCCTCTGCAGCTCAGGTTTGACTGGGGGGCCTGCTGCAAAGAACAAACATTAGTGGAAAACAGCTGATAAGACAGCTAAATACTGAGATCATTTCTGGCACGTACATTATGAAGTAACCTAACGATACTCAGAACATCTTGCATTCAGAGCTTTTGAAAAGGCATCCTTAGATAAAAAGACACTCATTCAGGATAACTAAGGAACTGTAAATCCGCCATGCTTTGGTTTTCTGCTGCTATCCAAGAACCTCCATGCAATAATGAAGATTTCAAACTTGCCACTGCCACTACAGACACCAGCTTCCTTTGACATTTACTTATATTTCTGGTAGCCCAATATGTGCCACCTTTTATTACTATACAGACACTCACAGCCTCAGAAAGGGTGACTGGCCAAATGGAAGATGACAGGTTTTCTCAGTTGAAGTACTGTTAGAGTCTGTTGGTTCTAGTAGCACTATACTTTGCCCTTCCCTTTGAAACCTTGAATTTCAGCTTTGAAATTCAAGTCTCAGACCAGGAACAGGTCAGCATTTTCATACCGTTACAAGAATTAGTGATGGCCTTACACCAAACAAAACGCAGCTACAAGGAAGAGCCATACGGGAATCATCTACAGAGGAAAAGCAAAACCAAGGACTGCAAAAGACAGTCAGAAACGGAAAGCTGTCTGCAGCAGCTGTACTACCGATGAGCTCTGAGCATGTGAAATTCCAGAAGATATGACACAGCAACTGAACAGAACTTATTTCACATCTCTTCTGGGAAGTACAAGAAAAACCAGGACAATCCAAGGCTGAAGCTAAAGATGTAAAGCTACCGGAAAGGAATGGAGGCAGAGCAGCAGGATGTCTCCGAGTTGAAGAGATGACTCGAGTTGAAGCTGAAGCACACGTGCTGCTCTCGTAGTGGCCAGTCAGAGCGAGGCCTGCGCATATCCACTGCCAGTTCAGCTCAAAAAAGGCACTCAGCACTTCACCCTGACATCTTAAACAGCGCCTCGCACACATTCCAAAATCCTACCCGCAACTCCCTGTCTCACTGCAGACTAACGCTGAATCCTGCATAAGGCACATTTCTGTTCTCACGTGCAAATAGCTACAACTCAGTATCACTCAAGTTGAAAGTCTAGGATTTGAAGATCACAGACCTGCACTGGAACTGAAAGAATCGACATACTATTAAGACAGAAGAACTCAGACAATGACTAGCACTAATGACTGACTAATGAGCAGCACAGTTGAATAAATTACTAGTTCAGTTAACGCTCACCTTCTTCCAGAATTTTAAACGAGAAGTTGGAGGGCCCATCTTGTGCTGGAGGAGCCAGCTTGGATGCCTCGCTCTCCCAAGGTTCCTGAGCTGCACTGCAGCTTTTGGGTGCTTCAGCCACTCCCGGTTTTTCCTGCTCTGCTTTCTGAGATGTTGAAATTCCATCAGCGCTCTTTCCTGGAGGATTAAAGCCGAATCCAAAGAGGGAACCGATGGCCGAGGTCTTGCCAGATGGGAATGTCTTTTCGTTACTGAAAACGCTCTTGACACATTCAGACATAAATACAAACTTTGGAGCAGAAACCACGGTTTTTCTTGGCGTTTCAGAGGTGCTTAAAGCCTCTGAGGCCTCTACAGCGGCATCAGAACCATCACCACCATGGCTGAGGTCACTTTGTTCCCTGGTAGCTTCCTCCAGCACAGCTACAGAGTTCGCACCACAAGGAGACGCTTTGGCTGTGTTTGTACCAGAAACATGAGGTGTTATCCACGTGCCTTTCTCACAGGTGTGCTCACTCTTGTCCCTGTTTGCTGTTTCTTGAGATTGGAGTATAACTCCACCACCTGAGGGCAGTTCATTTTTGTCTTTTCCATCCATGTTTGTCAAGCCTGCTGTACGCTCCTTGGGTGGATTGTCTTTCTTAGCGCAATTTGTATTGCACTCCTCTATGTCAAATTTAAATCCACCTGGAGGCAACCACACTGAGAAGTTACATCTTCCTTCTGCAGGCTTTGCTTCAGCATCTGCCAGATTCTGAGAGGTACACACTGGGGTTTTCCCATCGAGTTTAAAGGACAGTTCTTGAAGAGATACTGCTGAATGAGTTTTGTTTGCATTCTGCAGGGCAACACATTTTGGGGCAGTGGGTTCATTTCTCACTGAAGAGATGTTACAGTCCCACTGCCCTTCCTTTTTCACAAAGGCGGATCCTAATTTGTCCTGTGCGGCACTGACACAGGACTCTGCAGGTTTTAAACCTGTGGGTGCAAACGCAGGTTTTGTAAAACAGCCTGGTTCAGGCAGAGGTGGATTTGCGCTCGCCTGGGGCAGGCCGTAGTTGTAGCGATCATCACCTCCACGAGGAGAAAGGATTCCAGCAGACGGAGCATCAAAACACACAGGTGCACCACAGGTGCCTTGAGGAAACACACCAGCACAAGTGCTGTGCAGAGGCGGCGCGTGGATCGCTTGTTGCTGAGCACGTCTACGTGCTGAGGTGCAGGTCCGTTCATGCCACAGACAGGCGCCTAAAGAAAAACACAGCGTTACTTCCTCGTGGAAAAGGAGAAAAAGGGTTCAGGGGGCTGAAGCCAATGCAACGTGCACTCTTCATAGCAAGGTGCACCTTAAAATTAGATTTCAACTCTCATCAGTTTAAATTGAAATCATTCGTTCAAAACTTGGATGGTATCTGAACACACAGACTGGAGAGAAGCGTAAGTGAACTGACTCATTTCCTTTAGTATCAAAAAAGTCAAAACCAGCAAGTCCCCACACTACTTTGGGGAAAAGAACATCGCAGACAACGAGCAGAGGACATGTGCCAGCACGTTAAAAATCACAGATCACAGAATCACCCGGGTTGGAAGGGACCTCAAGGAT